AGACGAGGATGTATATATATATATATATATATATATATATATATATATATATGTATGTGTATCCTGTCGCGTGAAAAATAAGTGGTACGATTTTTTTACACGCTATGTCCTTCTTCCCTTGTTCTCTGTCCCTTTTTTTACGAAAGCTAAGAGAATTACCATCAGGACTAACTTTAGTGTCGCTACGTGCATCATCACACTTCTCTCGCGTTCTTGCCTCAACGTTCTTCAATCGCCGAGTGACGTAAATGCTTCGTGATGACGCTTTTATCGCGGGAGCACAAGAGGTCCGTTGTTGTTCGGAGAACTCACACTGTAAATATTGACTGTGCGCAACATTAATTCGTTCGTTCGTTGACATGTGGAGAGTTCACAGGCTACTACGGAGGCTTCCGTAGATCGCAACGAACCATTCCTCGGCTCGCCGCGCGATGACAAGAGGGCAATCTTACAGACAGGCACCTGTAGAGCACACGCCCGCGTCGTGCCCGTGACTCCACGGGCTACACCGCGCAGCCTTTGCGCGTGCCGTACAGCACCTTCAGCTCCGGTATGATGATCTTCTTGATGAGCGCGTTCGTCTTGGCGGTGAGCAGGTCGCGGTGCGGATCCTTCTTGAAGATCTTGATGCCCGGCCGGTGCACCAGAAACGCGTTGTCCAGGATGAGGAAGTCATAGTCGAGAACGCAGAGCGCGTAACCCTGTGAGATCAAAAAAATCACTAGAATATATAAATACATAATTTTATATAAAATATAAATTATATCTTATTCTCAGAAGATACATCAGGAGACGCATTGCGGAAATCATCGGAAAAAAAGTGTTGCAACCGCCCTGTGACTGATCGCACAGTCAGATGATACAGTCGTGGACAGAAAGTTTTTTTTTTCCGTATAAGTATCGGAATATAGGAGAATATATTTCGTAGTCATCCTCGGAAGGTACATTTTGGATACGAAACGCATTGTGAAACAAGTGTAAAAAAAAAGTGTCGCAACTTTTCTGTCTACAGTGGGATTAATATACAGTCCACGGCGTCATGTGCCCAGATAGTTAAAACAATTATTTTCAAGAAACAAGACAACATTATGTTGAATTCTAACAACGGCAAGTTGGTGGCAACATGTTAATACCGGAAAAGAGGTGAGAGACAATTGACGACAACTCTCGCCGTCAATCATAAAAATGTTTCATTAAAAAAAAAATAATATTTACCGCGTCGTTTTTAAGGCGTTGTCAATGATTTCTTATGAAATCTCAGTTACGCGCCACTCAATAGACCTCATTTATAATTGAAACGTTCGGGAATCCGGATTGTAAATCAATCGTATCATACCATCTGACTGATGTTCCGTATTGTCCGGGCACACTTATCTCAATTGGCTAAGCTCACCTGCGTCATTTTATCGCTCTTCCCCTCCCAACTGAGTCTCTCGTCGTAAAGAGGATCGTTATTGGTCCCGATGAAGATCGGCTCCCAGTGTACGAAGCTACCGGTTCTCTTGCCGATGTGGAACACGTGCAGACCCTCCGTCTCGGTCGCTTCCTGCCACTCCTTGCTCTTCGGCACGTTGTGGCAGCCGGAGCACAGTTTCTTGTGGAATGGTATGGCGGTGCCCGCCTTCAGCATCTGCACCTGCGAATTCAGAGAGGACCTCAGAACACGAATGCTTCCGTTCCCGGGCATGCAACTCGTGACGACTTGTGTGTATCGGCGGAAAGTGGTAATAACCGGCAATGGACGCACAATCGCTCTTTGTTCAGAATTGGCGTGACTGAATGTGACAAAAGGTGCGTTGTGCGACGGACAATAGCGATGCTAATTCCGCGTATCAAGGTCAAAGGAAGTGCCATTGATCCCTGCTCTCTTTCGCTTAATCGCCAGCACACGTACCAGGTGAGTTTTGTTGTTGGGCGGCAGGCTCTTGCCGTCCACCTCGAAAATGGGCAGCACGAAGACCTTGGGATTCGGCTTGTAGAGAGCCGGCTGATCCCTCCTGCGAATCATCTCCAGGAACTTGGCGGGCAGATTCGGACTGGGGTACAGCTCGATGTCGCTGGGGAACACGTAGAGGGTGGGCGCGGATTCCCGCGCCACGTTGCGACCCACGTTCACAGGGTACAGCAACTTCTTGTCGTTCTTGTACATCTTCGAGAGGCTGACGTTCACCCATGGCGGTCCGAGCGAGCAGTTGTACGTGTCGGAGACGATCTGCTCTGACGGCGGCACCTGCGACAGGATTGCGAGCGATCCATTAAGGAGGAAAGAGACTGCGCAACCCGAACGAAGAAACATTTATGATATGATCCACCGGGTAAACTCAAAATAAATGTTCTGGAAAATTTTTGGAGGCCCCAAAAGAATACTCGGATTTCATGAATTTCCAAATGTTTGCAAAACAAGAAAAGAGGAGAAACCGACGTTCGCGGAAAAAGACGACGCGCGGTTTCCGCTCTGCAGCGTTGCGAAGTCGGCCGCGGAAACCGGCGCGAAGTGTTCGTCAGGATACACAGCAAGGCGGTACGATCTAAATATCGTTCGCGTGCCAAGCAACGGGCTGCATATGCATAAGGTAGATTTACGCGCACGCATCGCTCGAGAAACAAATTACCGGGACGAAGAGTCCTCCCCTGCCGCAACGTAACGACGTTCGCGCGCGGATCTATCATTAATTCGTCGTATTCCCTGACAGGCGTGCAATTCATAAAATTTATGTGTCATCGACAAGTATGGCCGCATAGAAAATTCTCTAATCCGTTCCCCAAAATAATTGTGAACTCCAGTTGGGGAATTTTCTGCTCTCAAATTATTTCCTAAATTTCTATTTCTCTCGGGAATAACTGAACGATCGGAATCCTCTTGGGACAGTTCCGGTAATAAGTGGATACCGATCATATAACTTTTCTCTCAGAGCAAAAAGTGAAATGTTTTCGCTTACATTTTTCGAGTTCACGCTAGAAGAGAAGATTTATGATCCTCTGGGTGTTCTCTAGCCTGAGTTCGTGGAAATTTCCTAATTTGTTTCATACTTCTGCCAAAATAACGTAAGATCGGAATCTATGCTGTATCTAAGGAAATGTGGGAAAATTTCTATACGGAAAGTAATATTTCTCTCGCGGGGGGATACGTTAGATTCACACAGGAAACGACTACGGGGGTGGTTAATGGGAAGGGCAGATTGAACTCGAGAGACAGTGGATGACACCCGGATCGTTCCACTCACCGCTTTTGGCACGTGTTTGCTGCTGAAGAAGACGTGGAAGGTTACCAGCTGCGAGACCAAGGGGCTACCGCAGTTTCTCGAGTACCTGATGGCGTCGAGGGTCGCCGGGAAGTCGGTGCCGGGCGCGTGCATGGCGATCGATATCGGCGCCCGCCAGCGCTCCAGCAGCGGCTCCAGATTGTCCAGGAACGTGTAGTCGGCGTGCGTGGTGTACGTCACGCTCTCCCAGCATCTCACCGCCATGCTCATCGGCACGTAATTATAGAGCACCCAGTAGTCGCCCCGCTGCGCCCGCCTCGGCTCGGTCGACTTCTCGTTGCAGGAAATGGCCTCCTTCAGGCTCATCGCCACCGGCCGCGCGACCGTCGTGCCGTTCCTCACCTGAGACGACGAGAAAGCGCTCGTTCAAACGAGGAAATTATCGTCGGAGAGGACGTACGAATTCTTCTACACACGACGATCTCGTAGGATTCTACTTCGTATACGGCTATTGATCATGGTGACGTGAAAGGATAACGCGGCGATCGTCTCGTACGATAACGAAAATAACCGTCCGCTTTGGAGCTAACGATTCAACGCTCGAATGCACTTCGAAAGTCCCTCTGCGTGCAGCTTGTGTGTACGAACCATCTTTATTTCGTCTCTCCCTCTTTCTCGAGAAAGCGAGAAAGGGACCACCGTCGCTCTGATTCTGTCGAGAAAATTATATACTAGATTCTTTGAGGGATGTTGCGGCTCTTAGAAAGGAAACAACAGCTCTTCAATACCAATGTAAGCACATATAACACAAAATGCACAATATAAAATACCAATAAAAGAAACAACAATTAAAATTTAAGTGTTATCAATAAAAAAATACCAAAATTATCAAATACCAGTAAAAAACAATTGAAATACTTGAGCTTTAATTATTTTCTTACTGGTCTAAGTTAATACAATTCTAGTGCGTTACGAGCAAGTGTTTCCTCAATTATATAGGTTGTTACATGATATATTGATATTTAAGGAGCATGTTTCTAACGTAAATTGAAGCAGAAAATGTTGTATTAGCATAGATCGAATTAGAATCAGTTACCCATCTATAAGAGTTTAAAGTTTATAAATGTGATTTTTTTCCATTAGAAATGAAAAAATCAGAAAATAAAGATCATATAAATTGTTCGAATTTACGTGCTTCGGCATTAATACACGGTACAATCTAAAATAGGTTGAATGGTCGCGCGAAGAACATTATGTTTATTTCGTTCGCATGCGCCATTAATCGCACGTTGTATTAATTCAGCTCGAGCATTAACTTTCCAAAGAAAAAATTAGAGAGGCCATGAGAAGCAAAGCACGGGTAATCTAGTGCTATGTTAAATATTAATATTGTCGGTATAAATATTAATTGTGGGAGGATGAAATTGTCTATATGTATTGCGAACATACCGTTATATCGGCTAAACGAACGCAGGCAATATATTGTTTAAAATCCTCCGATAACCTCTCTACCCAATTGCTAAATACATGCAGCATAAGCAATTGTTAATTCTAATATCACGTAGCGACAAATTCACGATACGATATTTGAGTTAACAATCGCTTACTGATGTATTTAGCAATACAATTTCATCCTTCCAATTGGAAATGGATCAGCAGTCGCTTCTCTGATTCTTTCCTCGATACTACCAAAGAACTTTTGTACACCTGATGTTTTCTTTCCAATTTTCGATGTTTTCACGCGAGAGACATGTACCGTCTGATTATGCTCCGACTTGTCGAGAGCCTCGACCTTGGCCCCGTTGGGCGTCGTGGTGACGAGGAGCTTGCTCCTGAGGGGACCGGCGGCGCCGCTCGTCCTGGCATCCTTGACGGCGGATGCTGCCGACGAGGATGCGGCGCCCTTCTGAGTGCCATTTACGAGATCGATGGCGCCGTAGCTCTCCGGCTGGAGCGGCGCCGCCCAGTTGGTCGGCGGTTCCTCGATCCACGGTCCGGAGGAGCCGATGTTGGCGCACACGTACAGCAGCACGCACACATTCAGCACCACTGACAGGCGTAGCGCCCAGTTCCTGCGGGCAATGGCTAAGATGCTCATCCTACAGCCTCCTCTGGTTCCGCTCTGCGACTTGCGTGAAGAGACGATGGGTCGCCAACGAATGACCGCATCCACCCTGTCGCGGCAGTCCGCGATCAGGAGCTGTTCATGACTGCCGCCGCAGAGACAGCTGCGGAGCGGAACTGCAACGAGAAAAGGGGCAGGTTGATGTTAGGGTCACCTTCCGTTCTTCGTGTATCTCTCTCGTTTATCTTGCCGTGACGATCCAGTTTAACGACTCGACACCACTTTCCCCTTCTTCCTCGTCACGATCGATGACTTTTCTCATATCTAAATAAGATTGGATCATCTATCTTGATAAACAGATTGGTGAGAAAATAAACTTTTCTTAGATATAGATATAGAAAGAGATTTTAGTCTGACTGCAAATTTTTTTATAGATATAGGATAAATTTATGACTTTTTGTATTTGATATGTCGAGATATGTTTATTCGGCGCGCCGCCTTGAATTGGGTAACGGTAGTTCGATTCTCCTCACGATCCGATGTTTGGCAACATCGGCCGAGTGAAATCGAGAGGGAACAGAGAGAGCCATTAACCGCCGAAAATGACTAATAAGAAACGACCGTCCGTCTCGTTGGTCTTTTCGGTCTTACATCATCGAATTCGACGGCATCGCGACGAGGAGACCACCGACGAAAGTTGACACCGAGCGAGCGCGAGAGACTAACTTTTCGAGCCATATTCAGCGGGGAAACAATTTTAACAGTATTTCGTGCCGCGGGGAATAATCTATGGCATGCGATCTCTGCCGACCGCGATTATTTTAATCGCGAAATTAGGGAAGAGAATTATGATCAGCGCGACAGGATTTGGCGAAATCTTTTTTATCTCGTGAATCTTATACCTATTTCGCCCACAGCTTAAGAGGAACATATTATCGAGCTTATTATCGACTTAGAATATTTATATGGTTGTGTTGAATACGTAACGTTGCGACATTAGGGTTGGTCGGAAAATTCCAGTAGATTGGGAAACCATGGTAAAAAAACTCGGTTTGGAGATACCGTTTATAGTTGTAATATTTCGGAAAAAACCGACTTTTTTCTTATTTTCTAGGCGAATTTTTCTATCTTTAAGGTAGAAACCGAAAAAATCCACGAAAAATAAGAAAAATCAGGTTTTTTTTCAGAAACTTTAAAACTATATTATTGTAGAGCTTTTGCTAATATTTCACAACCAATATATTTCTGCTTATTGACGTTATCAACAGAACAAGTACAAACAGCGTGTGTCTTCCTCATTTTTCAAATTACTCGTGTTAACCGTCCACTTCATCGGTAAACGAAAAACGTATAATAATCACTTTAACATAGCTGCGTGGAAAAAAAGTATGAACATACGATTGTGTGCTTTTCATTTGTTTTTCACGTGCAAATTTTTGCGCACAGAATCATAGCTAGAACTATAAAGCGCCTCGTGAATTAGAATATCGATAAAAAATATTTACTTCATTGTTTTTAATACAAAGGAGCAATTTTTGCCGAATTTCCCGGTATTGCAACCGGCATGGAATTTTGCCAATCCTATGCAACACACACATACGATGAATCAACGATTGTTAGTACGAATGATTGGCAGTACGCCTTCAAAACGCACGATAAAATGCGAAATTGCTGGAAATTTGAAACATCGTGCGATAAATATGGGAGGTAGCATCAAGCAACAATATTAAAATTCAACAACTCACCGCGGAGGAACTGAACGCGAAGGAAACGCGATAACACGGTATCAATAGCGATAATACGACACACATGTAGATCGACCATCGACGATATATCGTCATCTAACATACACACGCTACACAAACATACTACGAGATACAGGGAGAGATAAAAAGAAATAACGATACGGAACTATCCGGCTGTTTCTCTAGAAAGGCGCGTCATATGTGTTTGAGCAGATTTCCAATCTTATCCGCAATAATATCCAGTTTGACGGCGTGGTAACTCACGCGCTCGTTAACGAGCGAGTGTTCGATAGGTATCGAGGTAGTTAGCGGAGCATCGCGAAACGAAGGAGGAACCCGGCAGTGAGGAATAAAAGTCCGCCGGCCAACTTGCCCTTTCATCGACGAAGCGACGGTTTTTAATTATGGATTTTGAAAGACCCGGTCATCCGTTCGATCGCTCGGCGAAACTCATCAACGACCGGGCGGCGTAAGGATTCTTTGATCGCTCGTGGAAACGCGAACGGCCGCTATTTTTAAAACGCGCAACAGCACGCAAGTTGTCGTATAATTATCTGAAAAAGCGAGGATCTCGTGATAACGGATTGTTATTACTTCGCGACTGTGGCTAAACTTTAACCAAGATGATGCGCACGGTTGGGATCGAGGTAACGGCCAGCGGGGGAATTTCTTTTCGTTACGCGTGCAACTTTAGACATACTGACTTATCAAGAGCCGCGGTCGATTGTTCCCATTAATGGATTGCGATATTTTTTTTTATAAAACCACGTGTGTGGAAAAATGTTGCAGTTTAATTGAATTCATTTTATTATTATTTCAACGCGAGGCCACTGGAGAATTAAATTAATCTTGACAAATAGAGCGATAAGCATTAATGCGACGATTACTATGTAGATTACTTTGCACGATATCCGAATGATGCGAGAGGAAGGATTGTAATTTGCAATCGTGAGCGAAAAGATAAACAACTTGTGCAATACTTCTGTTTAATCGATTCGTTCTCGCATATAATTACGCGCGGCTATTATGTTAAGTTATTAAGAATAACGGAAAACTACAAACTCATTACAGACAATATCGAAATTATTGTTATCAAAACACATTATCAATCGAAAAAAGAGATGAGAAAAAACAGCCGAGAGAAACAATTACCCAGATGCAAGGTCAATCTTCCGAATCAAAAGATGGACGCTGATTGTTTATTTCACTTTCGATTAAAATAGCGCGCATATTCATTTGTTTACGATGAACGGAATTGCCTGGCTAATGTTTGTTCACCGTATGAATAATAAATCCGCGTAATAAATTCTATCGACAGTTGTACAATAAGCCGAGCTCATCGGCTGAGATTGAATGGGAATTACGATCTGGACTAACAAACGTCCCGATGTGACACTTCGCAATATCAGAATTTTATTGCATAGGGTGATATTTTTCTTCCTTATTTTATGAGTTATTTCGTTTCACTCAGGTACAAATAAATACGTTTGTAACAGTTCGCACGGGCTCGACTGTAATTAACATGCGGCTTTTCAACACAATGGCATCCGTAATCGCCACGCAACGGTGTTAACATCCGATCGATCGAAGGATATGCAGTTGCGATCAATTTATTCGATTAAGCCACAAATACCCTTCGACCAGCAGATAGCACGTATTTATTTTTTCCAAACACTCACAGAGAGGAAGAGAAAAGCCATTGAACTACCTGATAGCATGAGTGATTGTTGATAACGGCGAATACAGATTCATTATGAAATATTCAGTTGAAAAATAAATCCAGAAATAAAAAAGGAAAACGCAAGTCACGTGATATATATTTACGTTAATTACGTTAATTACGTGGAATAACATGTTTCGTGCACGTACGGAAGAAAAAAAATTAACTCTCACAGATAAAAATTAGCTGTCCGTATAATATAAGTGAAATTTGATTTAATTAAATTTTTTGTTTCTGTATCTAAGTTTTAGCTTCTACAGTTAAAAACTAGGACTGACTAAAAAATCACACAGCTAAAAACTAAATTTTAGTTGTATTATACACGGATAGCCAATTCCTTTTTTCCGTGCGCGAGGCAGACATGTCGATCTAGTCCTTCGGTCCAAAAGTCGGCAGGAAAAGCGGCCACCTATTATTCCTTTCTGCAGGAATTCACACATACATGACGATTCCACCTGCCTTATCGGGCCACGATCGAGATCTTGAAGGCCCACGCGCATCCGTTCGCTCTCTTCCTGTCTTCTTCCTCCAGGAAGTAGGCGTGGATGACCGAAATTGATAGCAGCTCGACTAGTCGAAACAGCTCGTTAATTATCGCACGTTCAATGGCCGTGAAACTCAATTTTCGTCAAAATTAGATTGTGAAATAGTAATTCCGTCTACGCTGAAAATCGCATTGTACCGTAAAACATTCAGAAGGACTCCTCCTTGTAAAGCATACCGATGCGAGATTCAAATAACTTTTCGTGCTGTTGGTTTTCATTCAATAAGCAGTTTTCCGAGAATCGTCGATAACGATTGCGATCACAAATTTATCAAATTTCCTTGCGAAACAAGTTGCGTTAGAAAAATTCGCAGTCGTAGAGGCGTTTAAATTGATATTCCATCGTGTGAGCGCGTTTCGTCGAGGATGCGTCGTTTTAGAGAGAGAATATTTCGCGATCCAGTGCATCGCCGGACGAAGTTAAACCTTTGTGCAACGTCGGCTATAGCACCGGAAGCTTACCAGCGTCGCATAAATGGCGAGCTTAAAGGGGTTAAAACAACGAGGTTTCAAGGAAAAAGTGTCCGGCTTTTCACGATTGTGAGTCAGCTGTGTGTCCGCCAGCATCGCGCGTTTATCATTCAGCGAACGTATACGACGAAATTGTCGAAAGAACCGCGATTATCCGAATTAATTGAGTGATACGACAATGGAACGGGTAATCGGACGAGTGCGTTTCAACGCGGCAAGTGGGATTCCCCGTGAAGTACATTCGTATATGAATAAAAATGACACGAAACATGCAAATTGGAATTCAACATCGCGCATAACTACGCATCGGCTATGTAAAATTAAAAGATCTAAATTAACATGAAACACACGATAGAGTGGGAAATTAATATTGATGATAAAGTTAAATTCTACATCGATTTGATATTTAATATTATTCGATATGAAATATTTTAACATATAATATCAGATTTAATTAAACTATATAAAAAGGCACGAGGAAATTTCTTTTTTCCTTCGATTTATAGTTTCATCTCTCTCCACTGTTGTAATATTATATTTCCTTGTAAAAAAAGAAAAAAGGACGATCTTATGGAGAAATGTGAACCTAGCGCGCCAATGGCGGTTCCTCGTCAAATTTTTTACGAAACGTTTCGGGACCTAGTCAATTTAGATTTCCACCGGCCATGGAAGCGAGGCATGTATCAATGAGCACTC